CTAATCCAGATAAATTCCGTCCACCTCAGATCATACTCATTTAGGACTCGTGTTTAATATTTTATACTCGACTACGCATACGTCCCCAACCGGTCCCTTGTGCTCACATTTTGTACACATTTTTTATCTCCCATGCGAGCTACGTGCCCCCGTCCATATTATCTGGCTGGATCGTCCTAATAACATTTGGCGAATATTTCACATTATCAGACTCCTCGTTATACAAATTTCTCCGTCCTCGCTTTACATCAACTCTCTTAGGTCTATATAATCTCAGCACCCTAAATCTACGTTTCATCTTCATGAAAGAGACCAAATTTCACTCCCATAGAAACAATGGGCAAAATTATAGGGTTTTTTTGAGAACACGAAATTTTGTTCAATTTTCAGATTCTAATAAGAGTGGATGCAAATATTTAGGCATACATTCCTACAACACAAGATTAGAAATGGATGTTACGTTTTACAGCCAAAATATCGGGCATAATAATGTTAATCCAAATAAAATTCATATTCGGACTTTCAAAAAGTAAATTAAACGTTATATTAGAAAACAGTGCAGCTTCAGACATACACTTCATCACATAAAGAGTGTGGCTCGCACTCAAAGACCCATGTTTAACACCCGAGACATAATTCTACTGCGCCAACGTATCGTAAACTACGACTCCACTTGTAACAAGAATTAATTTCTTGGATGGATAATTATACTATACCTTATTGCTATAACCCCAAACAATTGGCTCTGTATACACTAGAGAAACAAACTGACAAATCTATGATGTTTCTCCTTTGTTTCCTCTTCTAAAATAACGATAACATTTTAAATATTAATATGATACGTGTACTGAATAGTTTACCGGCGCCTTCTATAAAACAGGACGTGAAAATTAGAATTCAAACTGAGCAAAGCAATTCTACATCAATTACCCGTCTAGTACCTAACAGGCCCACAGCCTAATACAACTCTATAGAACTGAAACCCCCACACAGAAGTCGGAAGTCAATGGCTTTGAATGACATTCATGAGTACTGCTCCTTTCTCACGATTGGTGAATCTGTTTACAAATAATCCACTTTTCTGCTCAAAGAGATTCTGCTGTAGTCATGAGTAGCGCCCACCGAAAATCAAACCCATAATTAGTTAAAACAAGCCGTAAGAGACACGAAAGAAAACACGAAAACCTACTTTGCAGCTACTCATATCAAGTAACGACTTTAACTTCCACTGTCTTCTGTGACGCTGGCAAGAAGATAATATATCAATGTTTCCTGATTCCGGGAAACAGTTCAAGCTGCAATACATCCATCAGATACAATGCACTTCCTCGTACACGCCAATGGTGGACTCGTTAACTAGAAGATGACCACAGAATACGAACATCGACCGTACAGCTCGAGGCCATACTTTCCACCGAAACTTTGGTAACCACCCACTGGCGGCGTCACAACCCAGAAAACAAAATCCCCGAGTCTGGAACAATAATTTACTTATGACGAGAAACAAATACGTCGTTTTGAATTAACTCAAAGGAACAAACGGTTCTGACCAATAATTTTAACGTGTATTTTCTGCGGTTCAATGCCTCGCTCATGATAGATAATTTGATGGATAAAGTAAACACGTTGAAATTAATTCAGGGAGAAGAATAATCCAACCGATAATGAGACTCCCCATCATGGCAGGTGCTTGGTGCTTCCTACAGAACCATGGCCCGCACGCCACTTTCACTGTACGTACTTTCTCTGTCCAAACAAACAAGATCATGGATTGAAAAATAAATACAGTACATATTTATTGTATCTTAGCATAACCTTTCAAATAACTATTGTCTTAAACGCGTTCTGTCGTTGTTACTGTTGGTATTCCTACTGTGGTTAACGAATACCACCCGGGTCACATATTTTAACACTGCCTGCAACTATAAATGTAACAGAATGTAATGACCATTATGATCTGTTTTGTCTGCTATTATTACTGTTAGACCTATATATTACAGAATATCTTATTATTGTAAACAGATTCTGTTTACGTTACATTTGTAGGGCATAAAAATAAAGGTTCGCATCAACAGCATGTTTCTACCTGCCCTCTAAAGCAGTGGTGTTCAACCTTTTTTGTTCGCGTACCCCCAGATATAATTTATCTTCAACTTTGTACCCCCAAAGTTGTTGGTGTATAATTCAAGTTATACATAGTATATAATCTACATCTAAAACAAATTAAATAAATGATATTACTGATTATTCAGTGTTTATCATAAAATAATATATATATTTTTAAATTTCGCGTACCCCAGGTTGAATACCACTGCTCTAAACAATATTTCACGCCTAATTTGTAGGTATGTTCATGGTCCAACTCCATACAATATTTCGATGACTGGCAACAATGGTTCATTAGTTATAGTTGTTAAACTAAAAGTCAAAGATAATTTTCGAATGGCTGCCGTGCTGTTAAAAAGTTTACCATGACAAAAGATGCGAATTCTTTCAATGTGGGCCTACCGACTTTATTTCAGAGCCCTATATTATTAACTTGCGCTAGAATTCACAGCATTCTACATGTTATTGTCGATTATAGAAAATTAAAATAATGATCATAGTGGTCGCGATGTAGAAGACGCGAGTTCGAATCTCGCTCAAATCATGCGTGTTTGTCTTCGTCTTTCTGTACAGTGCTGTCCTGTATCCACAACCTATTTATCTAAATCAATTTTAATTACATCCTTTCGTCTACACAACGGTCTCCTGAAAAAAATTTCGAAGGTACTCCTACCAAAATCGTTCTTTTTTTTCGCCTGTCTTATCCTTAACATACTCAAAAAATATGTGAAGAGGGTAATGAAATATATCCAAATTTAAAACAGCTATAACCAGGGTTCTAGAAACACTAACTTAATCTGCAAGGAGATATGTAACAAAGTCCACCAGCACATATATTTTATACTGAGGGTAAAAATGTACTCACATTTTGTCTCCATTAAATCGTCTGTGGCGAGTGGGCAAGCCGTGGGTGAAACGGAAACCACAAGATTTTCATGCAACGGAAATTCGATAATAAAGCATGAATGTTCTAAAGGACAGGAAACGACACTGGAAAAATTAAAAGCCCTTCCGGATAATGACGAAAATCAGGAATTGATTAAACTTTTAATTATGAAATAAAAATGCAGATAAAAAATTATATATTCCTTCACAAGCTTTATTAATATAGCCTGCACCTTATTTCAGGGTCCCGCGTTGGCCGAAATCATACCACGGAGCACTTCGTGTGGCTTTTGTAATGGCAAGTTCCTATTTCCTCTGGAAATCAGTTCACTGAAGTTATATCTGCATCGAGATGTGCCGAAGCGCCTTGTCATATCCTCAGTCGTCTGACCTGGCACTTCGACGGAATCGGAGTGGAGAAATCAAGTTTAGTTTTATTTCATAGGATTCAAGAGTCACACGGCGATAAGTCCGAAGATGGCTGTCTTCTGGGTTGTTGCGCCGTGAAGTCTGGCAGAAAGCAGGGGCCTGGAACGTTGGTAAACTTCTACCAGACTACAAAGCTCTACTACCCAGAAGATACACATTTCTTCAATAAAAATTGTCAGTGGAACCACGGTTCCGGATAATTTGACGTAAATACGTCTTTATGGAAAGGAAGTTTATATATTGACATTATTCTAAATATTTCTTTTATACCCGCTTTACAACTGAGTAAAGTTTGACTAAGACTTTGCTTATTTAACTTGAATTAGTTACGCTTAAGATGGGTCTGTGGTGGATGAATGTAATGTAAAGTAATGTAATGTAACGTTTCCTAGGTAACAACAATGCTGAGTAAACAGATGACGTTTCCTAGGTAACAACAATGCCGAGTAAACACGACGTTTCATAGGTAACCATCTTACACTTTTTCGTTCCACTTTTTTGCCGAATGACACTTCCTTATAGACGCATTTACGTCAAAACATGTCTTCATAACGATAAAACATAAAAACCGGAGGAAATTTCCAAAATGAGTCGGAACCACACTGGCAACGGAACGAGTTCATCGGCTGGGTATGATCTTTTTTCTATTAATGTTCGACTACGTGTTTACTCAACTTTTTTAACGTAGTCGTAATGGATAGTTGGTATAAAACTGGTGGGTTACAACGTAGGCGTAAACGCAGTCTGATAAAGAAAGAGCAATAAACTTAAATACGCAGGGTGTATATACTTCGCTAATTAATCGAGCGAGAGGCAAACGACACAGAAATAACGGAGTAAAGTTCGCTGCTAGGAAAAGCAGACCCCCTCCACTAACCCGACGGATCCAGGAACAAGATCTTGTTCCCGATTTTGGCCAGGCCATCAGCTGTAAGCACACATTCCTTTCCTCAGTCAGAAGTAAACAGCTGAATAGAAAACAAGGATTCTTTCGTGACACTTTTGACAAATAACCCCGACTGTGTCCAAATTGGAAAAAATTCTTAGCATTCAGGTGAGGCAAATTACAGTATTTTCTCGATTTTAAGACGCAATCGAATGTAAGACGCAATGAAGATGGCTGTCTTCTGGGTTGTTGCGCCGTGAAGTCTGGCAGAAAGCAGGGGCCTGGAACGTTGGTAAACTTCTACCAGACTACAAAGCTCTACTACCCAGAAGATACACATTTCTTCAATAAAAATTGTCAGTGGAACCACGGTTCCGGATAATTTGACGTAAATACGTCTTTATGGAAAGGAAGTTTATATATTGACATTATTCTAAATATTTCTTTTATACCCGCTTTACAACTGAGTAAAGTTTGACTAAGACTTTGCTTATTTAACTTGAATTAGTTACGCTTAAGATGGGTCTGTGGTGGATGAATGTAATGTAAAGTAATGTAATGTAACGTTTCCTAGGTAACAACAATGCTGAGTAAACAGATGACGTTTCCTAGGTAACAACAATGCCGAGTAAACACGACGTTTCATAGGTAACCATCTTACACTTTTTCGTTCCACTTTTTTGCCGAATGACACTTCCTTATAGACGCATTTACGTCAAAACATGTCTTCATAACGATAAAACATAAAAACCGGAGGAAATTTCCAAAATGAGTCGGAACCACACTGGCAACGGAACGAGTTCATCGGCTGGGTATGATCTTTTTTCTATTAATGTTCGACTACGTGTTTACTCAACTTTTTTAACGTAGTCGTAATGGATAGTTGGTATAAAACTGGTGGGTTACAACGTAGGCGTAAACGCAGTCTGATAAAGAAAGAGCAATAAACTTAAATACGCAGGGTGTATATACTTCGCTAATTAATCGAGCGAGAGGCAAACGACACAGAAATAACGGAGTAAAGTTCGCTGCTAGGAAAAGCAGACCCCCTCCACTAACCCGACGGATCCAGGAACAAGATCTTGTTCCCGATTTTGGCCAGGCCATCAGCTGTAAGCACACATTCCTTTCCTCAGTCAGAAGTAAACAGCTGAATAGAAAACAAGGATTCTTTCGTGACACTTTTGACAAATAACCCCGACTGTGTCCAAATTGGAAAAAATTCTTAGCATTCAGGTGAGGCAAATTACAGTATTTTCTCGATTTTAAGACGCAATCGAATGTAAGACGCAATCCGATTTCAGAAATTTTAAAATGCGAAAAAGAGCTTCTTCAAATCGAGGAAATACGGTAAAAAATACCCCTTTTTACGACATTAAGACCCATTTAAGAATCGGTGATTACCAGTGGTAAGATAAATACTGACAATTTCATATACTGGTTGAAAGAGAGTTTATACCAAACGTACGAAACACGCTCCACTTCAGTTTTCAGAAGATACAAAGAATGAAATTCATATACAGTAGTTTGAGATATTCGAGGCAGGCCTAAAAAATAATTTAAACTGCCACATTTCTAATAACCAGTTGAAGTTTCACTTTTGTGCATTAAACACGATATATTGCATACTAAAAGGATGAAATTAGTTCACGGTGTGTAGTAATGATGAAGGATGCTGACGGCTATGAACGAGGCCTGATGTTTTACCTTCGCGCTAAATACTCATCACTCACCAGCTCCTTCACTCTAAAACCAATTACAGCGAAGAACCCTAATTGGAACGATCCAATAAAGACAAGAGAGTGAGTGAGAATTAGGCCGCTGGAAACAACTCGATTCACGACCTTAACTAAACTGAAGATCGTAACTAGTGTTTAAGAATTTCGACACGTTTCTTTAAACCTACAAAAAATTAAGTAACTTACTTAGGTCTTAGGTATTTTATAACGCAGTTCCAAATACAATTACGTAACGTTGAATTGTGCGATGACAATCATTAACTGTGATAGGTAAGGTACAAAAAATATAACAGGGCATCAGGTAACCCGGCCGGGATTTTACAAAGTACGTCTCAATTATAAATCTACTGAGCTGCCAGTGTACTAGCCTATAATGGCGAAGTCAGAAGACACGAACATGATATTAATGATATGATAAAGTGCGTAGGAATTTGGCAAAATACACGGGTCCTTGCCCATCAAAACACGAATGTGAAACTAAGATTGCATGTATTTTCAGACACTGGTATTGACCGACGGAAGATAAAGTCCTCGATTGACCAGTCTTTAACCTGCCATTCATCAATCCGGGGGCTACACGAACTCTGACTAGCTTCCGATAAAATTCCATCACCCCACGTCAATCTCCCAATACGACCAATTCCCTCAACCAATTCGCTAGTTCAATGAAGTTCACAGCGCCAACATGATATAGTAATTACATGGTACATTCAGATGTTAAGAAGGGGAATATTTAAAGGGTAGCGTTTTCATACCGCCATACATTTCGAGTACCTTGTAATAAATTTGTAATATTATACCAGTAATCCAATATATACCGAAATAAATACTTAAATTACAGCGTTAATTACCTACACCCATCATGTACAACGACATATCTAGTATCTACTAATAAGATTCATTCGTGTGACAAGATAATACAAATATGACACGTCCAAAGAAAATTGAGTTGACATGGTAACACTTTTGGATAATCATTTTAATGTGGTGTCGAATGTCACATACACACAAACAAACACACACACATCTACTGCACTACTTTGCATATCGTAATATTCAGTTATAATTTAAGTTGCCTTTTTCTGCTTTTTAATTTCTTGTTATGCAGCCCCGCAGAACAACTGTTATATTTTACTTGAAAACATTAGTCTTTATTCCATATTACAACGGGTGTTCGAACTGATGACCTTCCCGGGTTATATGACGGAAATAAAAAAGAAAGTTCGAAACACGGTGACTACTGAATGCAATATAACGCTGAAATTGATATGCCGAATAATTACATGTTACAACTCCGATATTCTTATATTAGATGTTTCCTCGTGTTAATTAACCACATATTCTTTCAACTGGGAAAGTAGGTACGAATCTGGAAGCATGCGGTCGTGTAGTACATTAGGGTACCATCCAGCAACTGTAACTTACTCGGTGCTGAGTCGACGGCTGTATTATACGGCTCTAACACAATGATAAGTAAATTCTATTTAAGTACTAAACTTTCTCAACATATAATCAGATTTACAAACGGAATTTAATACCACTGTCGTCTTACGCTGAGGATGGATGGCAACGTAAAACGGAGTCACCACAGCTGAAACACGGCGTGCGACAAAGAGCAGCGAAGAGAAGGCTGTACATTGTCCCCAAAGACTTGCACTGTGCTCCATAAAATATATCTCCTAAACCTCAACACCAGTACTAGGATGGTGCAGCCCATAAATAATGCTTCAGTTTGCATCGAAACTGCCAATCCCGCTACGTTACTGCTCTCAATCTGCTTATAATTTATCTTCCAACCTTTATCATGACCAAATACGTGGAATTAGCTATCGTAACCAGCGACCATTAGAAATGAGTTGCAAATAAGCAGATAATGCTGATACGCACAAACACACAAAATTCGAATATCGTCGAGTTAAATTTAAATTATTTTAATAATGCCAGATGTAAGTCTGGTTGCAGTTATTAGGCCTAGTAATTGGCCGAATCGCTCGGAAGCCATATGCAGCTATCCTATATATGCGCATATACAAACACATATCGAAAAACACTCTCGACCTTGAATTAACCACGAGCCGAAAGGTGTACTGAAACTGAATACAAATATTTTTCAAATGCATTCTTTGCTATTTTGCACACTCACTGGCCTCGATGTGATTTATTGCACGTACAAATGTATTTCTCCTAAGTAACAGTACTGCATAAATATTGCATAGACGTAAATGTTACCTTTCCCTTTCAGATAAACATTCACAATATCTAAAAATGTTTCAGATTTTATTCAGGTATATATTTTATTTCGTGCACGAATCTTCTGTTACAAGAGTCTCTTATTTAAGAAAACAAAATTCTAATTCAGGTAGGGGCTGTAAAAATTCCTCACGTAAATATACATGTATATGTATCATGCTGACGTAAATAAAAATTAAATTCTCTTGCAAACTTATAGGGAAGTTCAGTGTTTTCGGAGAAGAAAACTTCGGCACGCGAAAATCACAGAAGTTCACGTCATGCAGTTGTGCAAACAACACATAAAAAGTAACATATATTTACAAGAATAGTTGTTTGCGGCTGTCAGTTACGACTGGTATTAAGGGTTTCGTGTTTTTACGACTCGTTCTCATTCCAACGTCAAATATTTGAAGTGAAAACATAAATACCATAACACAGAAGCCCTACTGGACGCTATGAATGAGTGGTACAGAAAGAAACGAAGAGAAAATTAAGATACGTTAGCCTGTCTCGTTACCGCAACGCAGAACAAAATCACAAAACAGAGGTGTCCGATAACACTTTCGGAAATATAACAAGTCAAAATGTTTATAAACAATTGGAACAGACCAGAGATATAAAATGTAATTTTACCACTTCTGTGAGGGTCTTAGATTTGGTCTCTCACAATAACAGGACATGGATTAAAGCGTGCTGAGAACAGATTGAAGTGGATAATAAGACGGATGAAGCAAAAGCGAAAGGTCGAGTTTGATCATTTTTACTTTTCACGAAATATTATTAGAGGGACCTAATCACGCAAGACAGAAAAGAGCGGGTCATGTGCCACACACAGAAGAGAGGAGCCAAATAAACAGAATTTCAGTTTGTATGCCTGTAGGGGGGAGAGAGAGAGAGAGCGAGAGAGCGCTACTTTAGAGACCTAGACTCAGATGGGAGGATATCATTCAAATGGATCTTAACAAAACGTGTCTTACAGAAACAGGATATGAGGGCGTGGACTGGATGCATCTGACTCAAAAAAGGAACCCAGTAAAGCGTAATTGTGAACAGGACAATGGATCTTCGGGGTTCCATAAAATGTGGGGAATTTCTTTAGCAGCTGTGCGGATATTAGCTTCACAAGGACTCTGTTCCATGGACTTCATATCTACACATGCACAGAACTAAAATATACCATTAACAGCTCATATTTCTGTTCAACAATGACGTAAACAAACAATATAAACAAAGAACAAGTAATTAAGAAACACAGTCCGTATATCTGTGATCACTACAGGTACAGAGTAGAGAAGGAATTTTTCAGTCATAACATCGAGATCGACTCTAATGCTCACTCGATCTCCTGTTTAATGAGAATCCGGGGCTCTGTCCACAAGAGCGTCATCCACCTGCATCTAGTACAGAGGTTAAGAATGCGTGAGCCTATACTGCAACTCCATAAGCCATCGTGGTGCGGTGCGCATAATAACACATCTTACTTCCTACCTACTCAAGAGACAACACAATATTTTCTTAAATTAGCCCCAAGTTTACGTGAAACTTGCATTTCGATCATGCAGACTAATGTCTACCAATGTGATTTTCCAACAACGCAGGTTTTAATCAAGGCTACGTGACGTAATGGTTCAAGAGCAATTATATATTAGAATATTTCGGGTTATATTACCTCGTGTTATATTTTAAACTTTTGATATGAGAATGCCAAATAAACAGTCAGTTACGGTTAGAATTTATGGGGTGAGATTAGTAAACATTATTATTTGATAATTATTCCATTGGGTGATCGAAAAGTCACTCAACCCATGTTAAAATATTTATTGGTGGTGGACTTTATTAATAAAAATAAAATATTTCTGTGATTATACAAGAGCCCACGCAGGATGTGTCATCAGGAATGGGTTGCGAGAATTTTCAATCATCTTGTAATTTCTGTTTCTTATGTATATTTTGTAATAAGGTCTACATAAGCTTTTCAGTGCAGATTTAGGAACATGAGCTGAGAGGGATAATGTAAGAGTAAGGATAATTTCAGGAACTATAAGAGAACAGACGCAAAATGAATTTTGCTATTACAAAGCCTGAACCCCGAAATATTCCATCGTGATGTTACGGGTAGCTGTAAACATCAAAAAGCGAGTTTCAGCCAAGATCATTAAGAAGAGTGCTACTGAAGAACTTAATTAAAGACTTTCCTTCTCAGTCTTCTTGAAGCAAAGCCCTCGGTTTACACTCTAAAATTTCGCGCGCAAAACTCTGACGTATCGTCCCTTTCAATCTCTAGAACTCCAGATTAATTAACTAAACAAACACCTAAAAATAGTCTCTTATACATTCTATTTCTGGAACGATCTATGTAAACAGAATAGAAGCACACACGGGCGTTTTGTTTCAAGTTGCACGTAATTCCAGTTTCTTTATTCTGCGGATTGCGTCCCATATCCACTTGTGGACGACCAGGCTTTTACAGTGAGTCGACTGGGTATCGATAATTCGGAGATTCAGCCGCGTACCGCAACTGACCATAACAGCAGAACTTGGACGTTAAATACCGTCTTAGTACAAAGGCAAGCCACTGATCATTGTTTCGAGATAATTGCATCCACACTAAAAAACTTATTTTTCTGCCATTCAAAATGCTAGTATATCTATTGATTTTCTGCGTCTGTAATGTACACCAATCACACACAGTAAACTCACGAAAATTAATTTGTGTTATGTAATATTTATATAATTAAAAATTGACAGTGGAACCACGGTTCCGGAGAATTTGACGTAAATACGTCTATACGGAAAGGAAGTTTATATATTGGCTTTATTCTAAATATTTCCTTTATACATGCTTTACAATTGAGTAAAGTTTGATTAAGACTTTGCTTATTTAACTTGAATTAGTTACGCTTAAGATGGGTCTGTGGTAGATGAATGTAATGTAAAGTAATGTAATGTAATGTAATGAAATGTATTTTATTTAGTGTTCTGTCTGACGACAGGTCCATATGAACAGGATCCTTCCATCCTTTTCTCGGACTGGGACCTGTTCATATACGTTCTTGGCGGATGACCCAGAAGTGGTTTGCCATTGCCTTCTTCTGTGTGAGTGTGAATGGAGTAATTGTTGGGATGCCACAGAGAAACCGGGGAAACCCCGGAGGAAAACTCCGTGTTGCCTAGACCACGGCCTTGCCCAACACAAGTTATAAATTCGGGCACCGCCGGGAATGAAATGTAATGTAACGTTTCCTAGGTAACAACATTGCCGAGTAAACAGACGACATTTCTTGCGATTTCTGTATTCCCTCCTACGTTCAGCACTAGTTTCTGGTATTTCTTTGTGAACTTTAGGTTCATTATTTAATATTATTTGCTTCTTGCGATTCCTACATTCCCTTGTATGTTCAGCATTAGTTTTTGGGGTTTTTTTTGGGGGGGAACTTTAGGTTCATTACTTAATACTTCTATTTTTTTACGTTTTCTGTACTGTCTCAT